ATTCTGGTTAAATTTTGATCGTCTAGTTACGACAGACTTTTAAAATTAGTAACCAAATAGTGTGATTTGAAAATTTATGTCAAAAAAGTCACATTCCCTCAAACCTGAAATTATCCTCTACCTACTTACAACAAGATATAATATAATACACTGCCACGGAATTTAAATTCTTATTGTTTTTTCATAAACAGTAGGCACTCGGAAGTTGATTTGCCAAGGGAAAAGTGATATTAGAAAACCATTTTTTCATGTTAAACGATGAGTTTTTCTTAGATCATGGAGCCCATCTTTACTTTCGTTTGTTACTCATGCATTTTTTCTTTCGGATATTTCAACGTTATCATTGTCTAGATAAATATATGTACATGCCTTTCAATGGAATGTCTTTATATTAAAGGGCTTAGTTCTTATTTTTATTCTATCTTTAGGTTTAGGTTGGCTATAAAGAATGCTCTTTTAAATTCATACACAACTTCAAAAACTAAATATTCTAAAGCTATTTAGTAAATAAAAAGAGCTTATATTACTTTAACAAATTATTATTATTTTTTATTATTATTTTTTGTCGGATAATTTTAATCATTATTCATTAATACAGGTGCGGCAGAGTCTGGTATATGCATGTAGAATGCTATGGCGGATGATTAATCTTATTTAATCTACCCATCATTTTGATTAAATAATTTTATGCCTGTCCCATCGTCTTTCAGTTGGTCACCCTTATGATAAAAATAATATAATTAATTCTTGAGGGGGCTTAAAGTCCACCTATTGGATCAACACTCTCGTTGCGCTATATTCCGATACTAAATAATATTCAATGAGTGTATGTGTAAAAGTAATTTGAAAAGTAAATAAGCAATTAGATGGTTATTGATTTCTAGTTGCTGTCACATCGACAGTAGCTACTAAAATTCTAAACATCTGCTTGTAATAGGAATTTACATAGCAGACGACTGGCAGCCATATTGATATTGTAGAAAGGAATATGTAGTGCAATGTGTTGATATAAATTCTATTGTTATATATGTTCATAGGTTAATTGCAGAACTGCGAGTAATATTTCCGACACACATTTTTTCTAACAGCTTAAATTGATTGAAATATATGAATTGCAGTGAAATATTTCAAAACTAAGCCCATATATCTCTTTAGGGAAGGCTATGCGGGAAATTGTGATAACTTGTTTAATAAAAATACCTACATGTATTTGCTATCAAATTTGATTTAGTGCTGAAGGAAATGAATGAGGAACATTAAATATTTATCTATATTGATTTCACAAAACTGTAATTTAAGATAATTGATTTGAATATGAGCTTTGTGAACATTGCAAATCACTTCAAAGTATACTATTTATACTACATGATATCCCTACTGATTGATGTTTATATTAACAAAGCGAAATTAATTCAATGGTTTTATTATTTATTTTAGTTCCAGTTTTCAAGGTAATCCATTTCAAACAAGCAAATCCAAAAATATATTTTAAACCTCATGGTTTGATAGCATAACATTGAGAACCTATACATACACTTACATGCATACAGCATGTTTTCATCTCCATTCAGAAATGTACACACATGCGTTTAAAAATTCAATTATATCTGCTCAAAACCATCGTCGATGTTTGCATTCACTTAACTGCCATAAATGGCACTAAGGTGATGTTTGTTTCGGGATTTTCTATTTAAACTTTGAAAATTAAATTTCGTATAGTTCGCAATTTTCCTGGGGTTTACATCAGAGATTTCAAATGAAAATGTTTTGTGATTGTTTGTTGAACTGCATTTGGGGTTACGGGTGTTATTACATACATGTACATTAGGGTGGGTAAAATAAACGAATGTTTTTTTTCGCTTCGTACTCTGAAAAATTGGTTGATAGACACTTCTGAGAAAGGCTTTCCAAGTATGAGACCTTAATTGTAACGGGAGGGTCCTCCGCTTAACGGTTTTATATTTTTTTTTATTATCAGATAGAAAAATTCATATATCGCTAGAAAAACTATCGTTTCATAGATTTTGTAGGAAGTTGAATGCTTTACAAAATAGTTTATTACGATTTTTTCGTAAACTTAACCGTGTAAGAGATATTAGCGGCTGAAGTTTGACTATTTGAACGAAAATGTGTTTTTTTATTCTTTTGAACTTCATAACTCAATGAAAAAACATCATTTTAAATCGCAAAGTTCATAGTCTTGTAGGAAATTTACTGCTCAATTTTGAAACATACACGAGTAGTTTTAAAATATTTAGATTTATTTTATCATTTTGAAATTTAAATACCTAACAAACTTTTATTCAGAAACTTATTTGTATGGTAGTTTTGATATAGGTAATTTAGAGATTTGAATACGTGATATGCCGTTTCTCTAACCGGCATATATCACATTAACATATAACAGTATATACGATTTGGTTTCCAAAAACAGCTTACGTAAATATTTCTAAATAATCTTAAAACATCATAAATTTGTAACCTTTTTACAAAATTTTGTACTCTTAATTGACTCTTTATGTGACGTTTACGTTCGAAATAGCTAACCTCTATTTCTATGAAAAATGCGTTTTGGAAAAAAAAAATTTCTTACTTGCTTAACCTCTTTTAATTGCTGGTATAGTCCTGCTGCAACCATGAAATAAAGGAGCACATACTCGTATGTATTAATGTTTGTATTGTGTGCTTAATGCTAAAAGCTTTCTGCTTTCAAAATTACGGTATCGAGAAATTTTAAGTTCACATACATATGTTACATAAATATGTACATATGTAAAGGCAGACACTTTAAACAAGTGGAATAAATCCATAAAGTCAACAATACTAAGTACAAAGTGGTTTTGTGAAGCTGCCATTTTCGGACCGAGCACGTGCTTATGCCTTGTGCGACCAGAGGACTCACCTATAACCTATAAGTTGCGACATGGCAGCGCTGAGGTTACTTAGACGACATTTACGTAGGTGTAATGGGATTGAGCAAATATAACACAAAACATGCACATACACAACCGTATAAATGTTTGCATATTTTAGTTTTGTTAACATTTTTTCGTTGTCGACCCAATTTTGTTAGATATATAAATTATGCGGTTAAATTAATTAAATTGTTGAGGTTGCGATCGCTTATTTGCAACTAAGCTTCAGCTCATTTATATTTATAATAAAAAAACAGCACTTTTTTCGCCAGCTTCGTAATATACTTCTTATAATTTCTGTAGACTAAAAGAAAACTATTTAATACTTCATAAATTCTATAAATCAAATAATTTAATTTTATTACAATAAAGAAATATTATATATACAACGAGAAAAAACGTTAACTTCGGCTACACTGAAGGTGTATTTCTTATAGCAACTACATATATTATATGTATAACTAAGCCTGTAAACTTAACCGACCGACGATTAGCTAGTTTGATAACAACAGCCTTCAGAATATCTTTTATGGAGATATATATATTGATTTAGATCGACTAGTTTACGAGTATGTTATGGCTATAAGCAAAAGTGACTGGGCTGGAACAATTTGTTAGATTGCCGCGTTGCCTTCGACAAACATCTGTGTTAAATATCGTGACTATACGAAGTTTTGCAATCAAGGAGTTATTTTTGAAAGATCGGTTTGTATGGCAGTTATATGCCATATTGTCCGATATCGACAGTTAAAACAAATAAGCAGCTTCTTGAGAAGAAAACAGAGTTTGTAAAATTTCAGTTTGACATCTCAAAAATTGACGGATTAGCTCGCATATACAAGTATACGGATGAACAGACAAGAGAACAGAGATTACAAAATCGACTCAGCTTGTCACGCTGCTATATATAATATTATATGCGAGTATTATATAGGGTCTCGGCCGTTTTGTTATGGGTGTAGGAAAGTTTGTGGCTCAATTAATATATTCTATTTAGGGTATAAAAACAGGTTTATGTTTTATATAAATAATAAATAATGTCAAATGCCAGCTTAAAAGCAGCAAATTCACACGTCTAAGGATATAAAAATTATTGCATTATTCTTCTGCTGTCATGTGGGTAGTTAACACAATTTAAAATAACTTTTTTATCTAGTAATTAGTATTATGGCAATAATCCACGCCACATCACGTATTAAAACGCTCTTAATGAGACAATAATACATTTGCAGCGCTCATTAACTGCTGGTAGCTACTGTAGTGTATGATGCTTATTAATTAAATCGATTTTATATATTTCACTGGGCAAATTTAATTATTAGTATGGCAAAGTTATTTACGAAATATGTTGCGAATTATCTTCTTTTTTAAATCGGAATTTACTGAAACCTTCAAAAAAAAAAACAAAAATATTACATTATTTAATATTCTTTGGCGAAACCTTCGTGATTGATTGCCGGTAAATTTCTTTCCAATGAAAGTACGAGCACAGGAATATGTTGGATTCCGATGTAATTTAAAGCTTACATGCAGTATTGATACTGCGCTCACACGGTATGAATGAATTTTTTACAACTGCGTGAGTACAAAACGTTGGAACTTAGTCCTTTATTATTTAATTCCTTTTATTTTTATACGTTTTTCACATCGAACTTTGAAGGTTACTTGGAGGCCAGGTTACCATAAAGAGTTATTGCTATAGTTTCGTTATATGAAAGTCATATTTCTCTGCCTGATAATCAGAGAGGTTATTCAAAGTGTCTTAGATAAAAAAGATAACAGAAGATGAAATAAGAAGAAATAATTACACAATTGGTTCGAAAGTTTATAATAAAAACAGAATTAAGACTCACAACTTCAGTCATGAACAAAAAATTATCGTATTTTATTTATTAAAAATATCATGTCAACTTTTACTATAATATGAATTAATTTTATGTTGCATAATTGCAGTGACAGTTTATTTAAATCACTTTAATTACTTACCTTTTACTCATTAACCAAAAAATTAAATATTGGACATTTTGTTTTATTTTTATTTTAGTTAATAAATATAAATGGTTAAATTTTTTTTTTATTCTTTATGTTGAATTAAAATTTTATTATAATATTTACAATGTACAATATCGAAAAGATTTTTCTGCGAAGTTAATTTTTATACAGATCTTGATTTTTAAGACAATGGGTTTGTAAATTAACCGTATTTATGTGCCTGCACATAATAGGTGTTTCTTTATGTTTTAGAATTTATTAGAACTATAGTTGTCGAACTAGCTGTGAAAAAAATTTCTGTTGTCGTGATCCATGGTGAGCGCTACTTAAAAATTATTTCTTTTATTTATTACGTTTCCGTTGTAAATATCAATCGCTTGGGAGCAAATTGGTTTCAGTAGACAGGTTCGGCAAGCGTTATAGCGCTCAAAACCGTCACCTTATTGAAACAAACCTTTGGCAAAGCTACCTAGCCTTTGACACCGTTATGACTACTCATTTGGGGCCGAGAGCTGATAAAACAGACAGAGCAATTGGAAGTTAATATTCAACGCATTATTTGCGAGAAGTCGGGTAAGTTATTTCATACTCAGGTTTATTTAAACACGAAATGTTTTATTCGAGTTAAAAGTTTTACACCTCTAAAAAACACCCTCTTTGTACATTTTTATTTACACTACAATAATTTCGTAAATAGTTTGTATATATGTGCACCTTTTGAAGACGTGAAATTTCTTTTAATAAAATAATACACTACATATATACACACATATACATATGTAAATCAGGAAATACAGAGCGGTGAAACGCTTTTTATTTTCCCAAAATATTTTGTTGTTAAATTGACAAAGGAGTATGCATTTAGTAGAATACCTATGTATGTCAGCCGCATTGATTATTCTGCTCACTTTGTGTGCGACTTCAACTACTCTTCTTCTTCTTTAACCAAAATGCTGCCTGCATTTTTATCGCACACGTCACTTACGTGTCTTTAAGCAGTACAAAATTAGCTTTACGTGCATATAGTTGCAACAACATATTTTCCCGTTTCATCTGCAGCGCAATTGTTGCATTCATTCGTTACAAATTCTGATGCTACTTCGGCTACTGTATATACTCTCCACCACGCGTTACTGGTTCTAATAGAGATGGAAACGCTGGTAATATCACACTTAGAACGGAGACGGAATGTTGACAGTCAAGTGCAAGCAGTTTTCCTCTATCGGTTCGCTCGGCGCTTCCGCTAAAAATAAATGAAATGGAATAAATCAGATTAAAGTGGTAAATTAAGTTATAAAATGCCACTTTATAATCGATACACTCGCCTATATAAAATATGTAGTTTTAAAGGATAGCCTTTAAAGTTGATTATGGCATAATTTAGTTTTAAATTTCAAATCATTAGATATTAATAGTTTTAGAGATACGCTTGTATTCGTACTTGTGTGTGAATGTGGGAGAGTCGCTGCGATTTAAAATACAATAAATTTTCGGATAGAATGACTCGGCACAACTTTGCTTTTCGTTAGTATTGGTAATTTTTTTTTAATTTGGGAGCATAATTAAGGGGAGTGCGGTCAATGAAATATATATTCCTCAGGGAAAGTTACGATAGAACAGCAATAGTCATATTAAATTAAACTTGAGGACTGGTACTGGCTCTATGAAGCCGTAGTTAAGTCAATACTGTTTTATGGGGTTGTTGTCTGGTGGAGGGCGCTTCGAAAGTACCACACTAGGTAAGCAGCTGGAGCGTGCTCAAAGAGTGGCCCTTATCGACATCTGTGGTGCACCAAGGAGTAAGTGGTAGAGTCTTTTGTCGGAAGCTCTTCATCAATTCTAGTTTTAGACTATCAGACCACTCAGAGAGGTGTGGATTTACTTCGATAGCCGAGCGGTTATACTGGCTTTGAGCTCGCTTACAATGCGCTTAAAACTAGTGAAGAAGTGCGTGACCTCATGACCAATAGCTTCAAACTACTTCCATATCATACTTGTATGGGTGCCCGGCCACAGCGAAGCCGGACACTGCAAAGCCGTTGAGCTTGCTGAGGAGGGAAACCTTTCCCCAATTTCATCCGTTTGGAAGCGAGTCGGTTTTCCGATGTTTTCTTGCATTCTGGCATTAGACCTTTGGACCTCCAGTGAGCTTAGCAAGCACTGGTCAACATCCAGATTTTGTGCGACTGCGAGATCCTGTTGTGCCAAAGTAAACTGAAAGAGGTGTTCCGAACTACTGGCTGTTAACAAAGTCAATTTTGCCACAATTATAGGTATTCTGACTGGACACTGTCCAAAAAAGAGCACACGCGGTGCGGCTAAATATTCTATCTGTCTAAACGAGATTCACCGATTTTGGATCAATCATACGAACTCGTCGATTTCGATTTCTTCTTCACTTGTAGTGATTTATCTATTGTAAATGTCATTTAAAATGGCGATTTTCAAATTGCGAAAGAGGTAATTCCATTTGGTTCATATTGACCGAATAGTTTGTGAATAAGAAATTTATCCTAAAAGTGGCTCCTTACTCAATTCTAAAATTGGTCCATACACAGGGCTGTAAAAAAGTCGTAAGTGTTACATTTATTATGTTTAGGGCTATTCTGTAGTTATTTTCCACAGTTTCAGTTCTTTTAACCATAACAGTTATATGGAAGATGGCCGTGGTTATTATTGGAATTTACCCGCTTTAATACTGTATGTCGAATGTTAGAAATATTGGTTGATATAGTTCTAGCGCTTTGTGACATAAATACTGTTAAGCTGTTAGAGGGCACCAATAAAAAGAAAATGTTGAATCACATATGCACACTCTACTATGATCTTATTTAGCAAATTTACATTTTGATGCGTGATTTGTGGCCCAGTTACTCCACTTTATAATTCCTCAGCTCTATAATTTTGACCAGCTATCAATATAAATCCTAAATGTTGGAGAAATATTTATATGGTTTTTTTGCAAGAGTTGTAAAATGATTTTGACTAAATAATTTTATTCTAGTACTCTAGTTTTCGATTCAAATTCAGTATGTTTAACAACAACACGGTTTAATAAATTTAATGTAATGTTCATGTAACTTAAAGCAAATTATTACTAAAGCGTTAGAGTAAAAAAGCGATAACAGAAACAAAGCCCTGAGGCCCACATGTGTATATTCTCTTAATTGTCATTTACAGTAAGCAAAACTAATTTACTATGTGAGTACAAACAGACCCACATTTGTATGAGGACGCACTTACACATGTATAAAGTTTTGCAACGAACCTGGTTTGGATGTTTAAATATCACGAAATTGTCTGTATGGAACTGATAAAATTAATTCACTAAAACTTACAGAATACATTACAAATTAATCATAGCAAGTCCAAAAAAAAAATTAATTTTTTTCGCGTAAAAATATTTGTCATTGTCGACACCTAATGTATGTATGTATGCTTACAAGTGGAACATCAGAATATTTACATACGTATACGTATAGGTCTGTACGTCAATGCCTGCTTTTTGTTGATAGCACATGACATAGCCAAACAAAACAAGGCCGGCCACAGGAAACAGGAAAATCCAACTACCTTGGGAATAATGGGGAATAACCACGTTGTTATGTATGTATATAAATAGGTGCACAACCTAGCATAGTTCAGTAGCTGCTCACTTAAGGGGTTTAAAGGTGATATACAAGTTTATACGTTGCGTTGTCTATCTAGTAGAAAGTTTAGCTATGTAAATACTAAGAAATCTACTTCAGCAGTTCGCAATTTTATATTGTTAGCATAAAACAAAATTTGATTTTATTATTTCACTAGAGAGTCTACGGCGAGTTTTACATATTAAACAAATTGTAAGGATACACTACAAACTATAATTGTATCTGCTTCGCAGAAAATATGGGGATTTATATTTAATGTTTTCATTCTGTCAGTATTACCGTCATGTTTCCTACCATTTTACCAACTTGAGTAGTGAATTTAATTTTTAAAATTTAATGGTGTGACAGCATAAAAACTTAAGTTGACTAAACGAACCAAAGAAAATGGTTTCTTTTTATTTTTATAGCAATTTATGGCAACACATTTTGGGACAAAGGGGCAACGTAGAAAAAAATTCAAAATCATGCATATCAATGAATAGCTCGTTCGTATGTATATATTATAGAATATATATATATAGCTTACAGAAGTTCACATTTAAATTTTATTTTATATTTTAACGTATTCAGACGAAATACATATATATTTATATATAATATATATAAAATAAATATGTAGGATCGTAAATATTATAAATACTATAGATCTGATCTCTAACACCATGATCTCTAACACCATATATCATGTTGAGTGTGTTTTTTAATTTTTGTCATAAATATGTGATCTAAAAATGCAATAGGAGTCAATATTTTTTGTTATAAAACCAAATTTATAGATGAAAAGGTATTGCTACCTCTTTGATCACAACACAGATTACTCAACAAACAGCAACTATATTTTTTTGCTGTGTTCTGCAAAAGTATATAAACTTTTGTCAAAACTTTCTTTACCATCGATTAAGTTCTATTGGTAACACTTATATAATTTCTTAAGTTGGGCACGCCACTGCGTATACGCAGTTTTGCAAAAACTCGCCATGCAGAGAAACTTATATGCTTGTCATGTTTTTGGGAATATATCGTTTTTCATTGCCTACAAGTGCTAACATAAGCGTAGTATGTACTTGAGTCCATACATATGTAAATAAAATATGTTTGGGGGCAAGAGCCCTTTTCGAGGATTATACAAGTATGACGGTCGTTTCATTAAATCACAAATATTTAAAATCGTCTTGGGGTTGTAGTTATGAATATTAATATTACAAGAATAAACCCGTTATATATAAGTATAAATATATGCGCATATATATCTTTAATAAAGCATAAAAGCGTTTTTGAGCGCATTGCCAAAACGCACAAAATATTTATTTATATATTATACATAGATATATATGGGTACTAATTTCAACGGATAATCGCTACAAAATATTTCATTTACAAATCATATTTTTCCTCTTCATTTTGTTTGTTCTCTTTGTAGTTATTTCAAAAGTAAGCCTGAGTACAGTCGTATGTCATATAAAATTGAAAAAGTAAAGCTCTAATATGTACATTTGTATAGTAGGGTTGCCATTGCTTAACGGTTTTCTATGTTTTTATTATTATCAGATAGAACAAATAAGAAAAATCTAAGTTCGGGTGTAGCTGAACATTTTATAGTCTTGCAAGGTAAAGTGATATAAAGGATTTTCGAATATATTTTAATTATATTTAAATTTCTTACGTATTGACCGATAGATGCGGTATAAAGTCATCCGGATTCGAAAATATTTATATTAGGTATATGGGGGCTAAGAGAAGTATTGACCCGATTTTTCCTATATTCGGAGAAAAGGTGTTTTGATAATAATATATCTCTGTGTCATAATGGGTTGAATCGGATTAATACTTCCCTTAGCCCTAAATATTGTACATAATTTAAAGGTTCCCTAAATATTGTACATAATTTAAAGATTTTCGAACTTCCGGTTGACTTTATAACACTTATATCGGCCAATATGTGATTTATGAATATGAAATTGAGGGAGCGCTTTTTTCTAATAAAATTGTATCTTAGCGAAAACTTGCATTAGCCCTCATACACCTGATGTTCAGGATTTTGAAACGTCCGCCTGACTTTACTCCATATATATGTTTAGATTTATATATATGTAAACTTGCTTTAAAAAAAGTTCTCAAGTATACATGATTAAATTATATGATTATATATGATTAAAAAAAAAATAAGAATATAAGAAAAGTTTTTTATGACATGTCGCCGAATACCAACTAATCAAATTAGACCCGAACCGACAAAAAAAACTACACTTTCACGTATTTTAATACAAGTCTTTATTATCGCCTTCAAAATAAGCTTCTAAGCTCCTTTCATACTACATTTCAACAATGTGTAAGGAACTATTACCAAGTATATTACTATACAGTTGGAGTTACCAACAATTTTATACCGCCTCTAAGTTTTGGACGAGAGTTAAATGAGTTTCTTATTGTAAGATAAAAAAAGAAGCTTTCCTGCAACTTCATATCAATTAAGTTATAAGATTTCCAAAATATCTTTTGCATGATGCAGGTATTATGATATTGTATTTAGTTGGTCAGCTCGTTTGAATTAAATTTTTTAAACTGGTGGTTACCAAACTCAGAAATGCTAAATCCTGCATAAATGTTCTTTAATCTGTTTGGTTTAGCGCCCATACTGTGATAAAATGAAAAATATTCGTATTTTCCTTGGAGTAAAATTTTATGAAACAAATGGCAACACTTTCTAGTAAAATTCAAGTGCGAATCTTCGTAAATAAAATTCATTAATTTGATAAGCTTAATTTGATAATTTAAATTTCAATACTGAATGTAATTTTTATTCAAAATTATTTAAATCTATTCAGCTCTCACTATGGCACTACCATTTCAGATCGAAAACAAGAAAACACGTTAACTTCGGTTGCACCGAAGTTATATTACCCTTCGCAAATATTATACAAAATATCTTCTTCTTTATTTTGTTCGTTCAGTTTGTTATAGCGATCCCAACTGAACAATTTCTTTGCAGATTAATATTTTAGGGAATAACCCATGCCAAATATTAGATGATAACGAGATGTCAACTTCATTATACCCCTCTCGTAGAAGGCTGCGTCCCTATTGGCAAAAAACTTCGAGAGCCAATTTTCACAGGCCTCTTTTGAGGCCAACTTCTTATCATTAAGCGCGTTTCCCTCTGTTGATCAAAGATGGCCTCTTCTGGATGAGTGCTGCCATCAAGCGGTCCAGTTGTTAGCAGTAGAGGGCCGAATTGAGCGTTTGGCCATAGGGGAGCAGCTCGTAGTAGATGATTCCTTGCAAATCCCACCAAACTCACAGCAAAACCTTCCTGGCCGTGAATCCGGTCTTGGCCACCGTCTGGGCCGCTTTCCCGAGCTTTGACTGCGACAGTTTGCGCTTGATGTTGTCATAAGTGACCCATTTTTCATCGCCAGTCACAATCCGCTTCAGAAACGGGTCGATTTTGTTGCGATTCTGCAGCGATTTGCCGATGGAAATTCGGTCCATCATGTTTTTTGCGTTAGTTCGTGTGACACCCAAACATCGAGCTCCTTTTTGAATCCGAGGTTATGCAAATAGTTCTAAACGGTTTTCTGGCTTATCTTTAATTCCTCAGCAATTAAATAAGTGCTCACGTGACGATCTGTTTCCACTATTTCGCATCACTGATCATTTACCATACATATATATATTATATTTTGTAGGTTTTTCGACGTTTCCTCCAAAGTGTTACATACTTCGTAACAAACTTAATATATCCTGTTCAGGGTATAAAAAGATCAGGTGTAGTAGCCCGCAGAAATCCTATGTTATGAGGATTAAAAATGCATTGAGTGAAAAAAGAAACCTAAATTAACCTCAAATTGACTGTATTTTGAGTTGTTGTGACATTTGATTATTAAGTAATAAAATTTAAAGTTAAAAAAGTCATCGATTTTAGAAAAGTTCTAATTTATGGAGTGACGTAACCTAACTTTTGGAAAGATACTAGTATGCTTTTAGTTTTGCAGGAATATAATGAACAAATAAACGGTCGAACGGATGAGTTCTGAAAAAAAAAATTAACTTGTATAAAGTTTTGAAGCGACTAACTATCGAACAGATACCGGCATATTGATGTGAGGTAGTGCGCTGATTAGTATACCGATATTGTTAGTACGGTATTAGTTTTATGCATCTATGTATGTATATACAAATACACTTTCATAAAGTATACTATTATGTATTTTAATTCGCAAACTCAGCATGATTTCGCAAGTTGCCATTACATTAACTTTCGACTTTGGCTGATGAAAAATAGCTAAACCATTAGTCATGAAGTAAATACATATACATATCTACGCACACAAAAGCAGGTACTTATTTGAAAAATATTCTAGCTAATATTTCGGAAGGATACTAGCAATCTGTCAAGCCCATACTTTGGCTTCCTGCGTGCGATTTGATACGTGCCTCTCTTGTATGCAACGTTTTTTCCCAAACCACAAAGCAAATCACGGCAAAAGCGGCAAATAGTTTGAGGCAAGGATTGTGGCCAACTTTTGTGTACAAACGTGTGTGTATAAATTTATATGTTTGTGTTTCTTGCACAGTTGTACATACCATATAAATGCAATATCCGCACTGTTTGCTGTTGTTTTGGCGCTTAAACGTTTCGACCTTCGTTATGATTTGATTAACGAGACCTTTTATCAGCGCAAATCAATTATGTGTGCGGTAGTCGAATAGTTTAAGTTTAATAAGATAAATGACAGCTACAATACATATTTGGATAATAAATTAATTTAACCTCTGAAATAAATGATGCATAAAACTTATATACAATATAACATTTATGTAAACTTATATACATACATAGATATGTATAATATATCTAATGCGCTTAATGTTTGTGGTTTTCCTCTTTTGGTTAAATCAGAGATTATAGGCCTATTGCTGTATACGGGGTCTAAGCCGATTTTATCAATTTTGTTCAACAGGGAACCCTTTTGTCAAAATTGGTGTGAAAAAGGTAGTCGTGAAGATGATTTAGAGTCGAATCAACATTCAAATGGAGAGCATTTTTCACAGTCTGTGAGGTTTTTTTTTTTTTATAAAATGGATGCTAATATTATGACTACTTTTGCAATAATAATTAAAATTGATGTTATAATAGTAATTGAAAAGATTATCTATACTACTGATCAGTAGATTCATATCAGTAGACAAATATACTTATTTACTTTATAAATAATTATTAGTTAGCCTCCTCATCAGTAAATTGAGGTATTTCATTAAGATTTATTATAGATTGGCCGATAAGTTGATATAACGTCAGAAATCTGTGTATACTGCGATCTTCATATTCGGCATCTGATAATGATCCACTTCGATCAATTTTTTTTTGAAAACCTACCGGTAATTTTGAAAAAGAAATCAAAAATCAATCAGACACCTAATTTTCGTCTTTTGCGTGGGAATCGAAGTGCTGTTAAGCCAATGCGTGTCCTATTGATGAAAACAAATAGTAATCGGAAGGTGCCAAGTCAGATGAATACGCGGGTGGGGTAGCAGCTCCGAGCTAAGTACTTCGATTGTATCCTGAACCGAATTTGCTTTCTGTGCAGGTACTTTGTCGTGCAACAAAATTACTTTGCCGTGTCTTCTGCTCACGATATACCGCACCCTTCTGATCCCATCAAACATAGTGCATGGCATTCTTACCGAATCGATCTGTTTTGCAGTCGATTTTGATGGTTGTCCCGGATTAACCCATGATTTTTACCGTTTAGGATTCTTAAAATAAATCCATTTTGCATCGCCAGTGACAATTCGATGGAAAACTGACTTTCTTTCGTGACTTTGAAGCAAAATTTCAGTTTGTTCAAGTGTTTTCTCGGTTTTCCATTTGTCTTTGAATCAATTCATGTAGCAGCCATTTGCCACACTTTTGGATCTTTCCCATAGCTTTCAAACGGTCCAAATTGTTTGTTGTGCAACTAACAAGGCTGCCATTTGCTTTTGACTCAAAAGATCATCTTCAACCAATATTGCTTGCAGTTCGGCGTGTTCGAACTTCTTTGGTGGTCTTCGACGTTCTTCATTTCTGATAGCAAAATCATTACCTCTGAACCGCTGAAACCATCTTTTGTATGTTGCTTCTGGTAGAAGCATAATCACATATATGACAAGCGTTCCATGCGGCTCTGCAGCACTTTTCTTCAAATGGAAACAAAAAAGTTACTCTCCGGAACGAAATTTGACATTTTCATACAATGAAAAAATATGATGTTGTTTGTTATTGAATATGTTTGACAGATGTCATGTATGGGGAAATGGGCGTAGATACACGTTTTATTCGATTTTAGTCATTCTAATAATGAAGCAAGAAACACTAAAAATACCACTAGAAAATTAAAAAGTTCACGGGCCAAATTAAACCACAGGTACCGATCGAAAGGACAGCTAAATATGTAAATTTCTATCGTCATACTGATCATTTCGATATATACGAATCTATAGCTAACTCTATTAAGTTTCGGTATTACAAACAACCAAAATCCAAAAACAACTTAATTACCTGAACTGGTAGGAATTTTATGGTTTTGGTCCATCTCTTCGTGTATCGTTGAAATGTGCGTGTGCGGATTCGTTGTTATGTAAGGACTGGCGATGGATTTTTGTATTTTCGTTGCACGTAAATAACTCTGACTCGACCCAGCTCCACCATCAGCTGATTGTATCACCACTTCGGTCTGTGAAAAGAAAGGTGTTTTAGCAATACTTTAAACGCTTTTGTTCGTGCGCAATGCATAGCAGTAAAAGCAATAAAGATAAGAAATACTATTTTATGTTTTCTCCTACACGCCTTCTTATTTTTGCATTTGCTGCTTCGATTACATTTCCCCTATCTCACGAATCATCGCTCTCACAATAATCTTAATTGCATACTATTAGCAGCATTCCTTTTTTTATAACTTTTTATCTTAATGTGTTTGCTTTTAAAATATTTCACTGAACTCACAATGAGGCACATGTACTTATATACTATATACTTGTAGATTGATATACAAGTACACACGCTTTTCTATCTCAGTTTTAGAGTCGATTAAATACGTTTTTTGTGAAATCCCGAGATATCGAAATATTCTAATAATATTAAATTTTTAACAAATAGCTGATGCTGAAACTTCTAATGCAGCTATAGTATTAATTGAATGAGGGTCGACACTCAGTTTGTGCTTTTTTTGAGGTAAAGAATTTGTTAGTAATTGTCAATGCAAACGTTTGAGATTGAACTGAAATCCTGTTGACTGACCATCTGGCCGTCCGTGCAAGCGATATTGAGTGAAAACAAGACACCCAGTGGAGGTTGGTATTGTAGGTGAGTGGATTTGGACCATTGCTACGATCACAAAAAAAAGTTATAATAACAAAAGAACAAGTAAGGAAAGACTAAATTCGGGTGTAATCGCGGATTTTATACTCTTGCAACTTGACATAATCAAAGCCCGGAGAATTCCTTCAGACGCTGGCGAAACTTCATATAAAAAAAAGTAGCGAAAGAATTCAACACCCATTATTCGACGAAATCATGAATGGATTACGATAAAATTTGGTATTTTATTAAGTTATATTATAGGTCATAGACTTAATTAGTTTTATTACTTCCCGTCAGCGAAATTAATATTAAAAGCATCTTCAAATTAGATATACATATATAATATAAACTCAACTAAAGAGGCTAAATTTAATAGATGGAGATGATGTGCAAAACGACAACCAAAACATCGTATTTGTGATATTAGGGATACGAGATTGCTACCATTTCTAACAGAAAAGTTTTCCCAGCGCCTGAAAGTACTAGTATTTCCCTGGCTTTGGTCCATGCAAATTGCGAGATTATAAAATGTTCGTTTTCATCCGCACTTAGCCATTCCTTAACTGTTTGTTATTTACAATTTTCAAAAAGCTGGAAATCTTTTATCTTACATTTAAATTAATTATTCAAAGCAATTACCGTCATTGTGAAAATTTTTTTGGTTTATTGATGTTTACATATTTTCATGATTTGGAAAAAAAATTCACTTGTGTTACAGTACTTAGACAGTAAATAAAAAATAAATTCCAAGTTAACTGGTTTTAATATCATAATAGAAATCTATACCAATATAGATGTATGTACAAGTATATGTGTTTGTATATATGTATGTTTCTTTATCTTGAGTTAGAAATATGACCCGTAGAAAATTGCTAATTCTTACCCGTATCTGTTGATTCCCGCAACCAAGTCCCTGCAGGTAATTTTGATATTGCGATATCACGCACAGCAGACAGTAAGACTTAGCGGCGATAAAATGGAGAAGAAACGATATGAATAAGATTAGAATAGAAAATAAAAGGCAATAGGATATAATAAAGTAATTGCTGGCAGAAAATGTTTTACTTATACTTATGGTGTATGTAAGCATGTATTTATGTCTTCCGTAATACAGTTTTGCTGGCGATACACATATATTATATATAATATATAAGTGTGTCTTTAAGAAATACGGTAGTTATGGCCGGACTTGTTCAACAACGGGAACACAAAAGAATTTATTTAATACTTTCCTAACGAGAGCAGTCAGCGGTTGAACAAAAGCTTGTGCTTCAACAGGTCAAATGAAGCAAGTTTAGCTAAACAATAACAAAATTAAATCGTTAACATATTTAAGTGTGTTTCTGTTTTTGTTGTCAAAGCTATGTATATGTAGATGTAGATATGTATAGCATTTAAATTTGCATAGACACTACTTATGGCGTAAAGAAAATTAAATTTACAGATAATTGCACACAGAAGCACAAAATTATTTATGGAATACCACGAATTGACATCGAAGCTTTTTGATTTGTTCAAGAGGTTATCCACAACAATTGAGATTGGAAAAGTTTTGGGCGCGGTAGAGTTGAATGTTTGTTACAAAACGTGTATAAATCTTCAGCATCTTCAAGTATTCTTACAGTCAGTTGTATTTTATATAATAATTACTGGGTACTCGAACCTATAATTGATTAATATGGCTAATTTAAGATTATTGCTGAGTGCAAATCAAATTTATCGCAGGCATGATCTGTATGTCATAATTTGATTTTCGAGATTTGAATAATTTCCCTTATAGTTTTAACGTAATCTATATAATAATAAGAGTAAGACCCCATTTTGATTTTGCTGATGTTATTTAAATATCTTGGCAGTACTGAAACGGTATTACACTAAGATAACATATTCACTTAATGCCTGTACAATATATGCTGTATTAAACGATATAATCGACATAGAAAAGAAAAAAGGAATGGAAATTTATTACTCATTCATTTTTGATCCTAAACCACATTGTGCTCAAGGTATAAAATTCTGTAATTCCACTTCGACTACTTTGGAAGCAGTGTTATACATATACAATATATTTTTAATTGACCTCTAAGTAATCCTTTTATCATTCTATTCAATTATTTTCCCCCAACATCTCCTATGGATCAACTCAATACATTTTGATTAAAGTTTTGGGTATGCAGCGAGTTTTGGGTAGACTCGTATCAAAATCTTTTGCAAAAACGACATCCTTATTGGTGACGAGAAGTGGGTTTATGAATATATATAACAATGTAGTGAAGAGCATATCAGCCGAGTAGTATTTTGAAGGGCGATAACAAAGATTTGTATTAAAATAAGAGAAAACGTTGCTTCTTTTTGTTTTGTTTGGCCACATGGTATGGTTTAACTCCGCTAGACTATTTTTTGTGGGGATACGTTAACTACGGGTGTGGAATGCAAAGCTAAACATACTCTAAATTGCAAATTAAGGCAAATTCAGCAATTTGACTACTTTCTGTTCATCTCTCTTCAGTTATGTCTGTTTGTTGAATCTATGCTAGAGGTCACTTTCCACGCGTTGGTAAGTCAAAAAAGTTTGTCTTTTATTATTTAATATATGTGGGTGGTATTAAAACCTTAGTTATGAAATTTCTGAGACAGGTTGTTTCCCCATGAAGTTTGATACTGCTCAACATAAAATCTGCCATAAAATTAATTAACTTGTTATAAATATGTATGAGTTACATAAAGCAAAGAAGCTGTTTTAATTCGGTTTTATTTTTTATAAATTCGTAAAAAACAGTCATGAGTATGCAACAATTGTGAACTGTGATGAAACCGGTGAGGCTAAAAATCTGTTGTATCTTGATTTCGTTTTCGGCCAATATCTGGAATTTTATGCTTTTTCTGGAAACTATACAAGTAACCATGCAATATCGAGTATCTGAATAACCTTCTCTCTTCTAGAACGTTGGTATCTTTTATGATTCTTCGTATATCGCATGCTATTAACAAACAAGCAGAACAACAAGCCAAGTTTTCGGTAAGATATTACCTCATCCCTTTTATGTGCTATTATATTTTTCACTGTGTCACCTTCGCCGAACCTAGCTCTGGTGGTCTTTTCTCTGTACTCCTTTCTTTGCAAGAGATGTAGGTAGAAAGAAGCTTGAAAAAAAAGCGCATTGCCTGAGGGCTTGGGTGGAAGGCCGATGGAGGCTACTGTCGTGAAGTATCCAGCAATACCAACTCTTGACTATAATAGCGTTTTTTTGCCGAAATACTGCTCCTAAGCAAATCCAGCCTTTCACTCTTATAGTAGAGCGGCAATCCTAGCTTTGAACTCACTGACCGTGCGCTCGCCGTTGATTAAGGATGGTCTAACCTTATTATCAACGAAATTTAGTTATTACTGGATAAGACTAGTTTGAGTACAAGGCCAAAGTGAATTCGCGGGCAACTGTCAAGCTGATGAGTTGGCAGGGAGGTGCCCAGCCTCGTTGCAGTTGGAATGGGAACGGGTCGGAATTCCGCAAGGTCTTGCGGGAGCTTAGGACTATCCGTAGAAAAAACGTTAACTTCCTAAACAAAAAAGCTTTCCATACAAGAGCTTGATTTGTTCGGAGATTATTGCATTACCTTGTATAATAATACATGCCAAATTTCGTGAAGATATCTCATCAAATAAAAACGGTTTTTATATAATATATAAAATATTTTTTTAAAATACTTACATTCAGACACATTATAAAAAAGTCAATGGTGAATATAAAGCCGACTACGGGATCGAAGTTCACCATTTGTGTAAATGACAAATAAACCAAGTGAAGAATTTCAATCAGTACATCGCAAAGCATGAAAACAATCCAGGGTAACAGAAGTTGACGCTTATTCTGTGCAAGAAAAAATATGTTTTCCAATTAATGATTTTATTGTGGTTTGTATTAAAAAATTTAAGTGACAACTGGTTGCCGCTTACTTGCTTCAATCCCACGAACGTTAAGAGCGACGACAAAACGATAAAGAACGAACAAATCAGAAACAGAATATTAAATACAACAATAGCTGAAACAAGAAAGAAAAATTGCTTATGAAGTATTATTAACTGCATTTTAGAAAAATTTTCCAAATTAGTGTACTTATTCTAAGCACACACACCTGACTGACACTTACCCGGTGTTATCTCTCCTTTGGCCAAGATGCTTTCTCCTAATGGTTGCCCTCTGCTGCCAGCCAGAAATTCCTGTTCATCGTAAACGGTAATGAGCATAACAACGGTGGAGAAACCAAAGTACACCTAAGTATATTCATAAAGTACAACGTTGGTTAACATCTTGGCACATGGAATGACTAATGCGAGATAGTGTAAAGTAATTTAAGGGAACATACATATACAACCAATATATTATAGAATTATATATATACTATATATTATGCAATGCTATACTATGTGGGTAAAAATTATACATTTATGATTATTTCATGTTGTTGAGCTATTTAAGTGATCAGTACTCAACTACGAATATGACCGCAGTTAACTCTTAATTAATAATCACAGCATAGAGAAGAAAACATACCATCGAAAGTACTTGTACATATATGGTAACTTCATGCATCCAATTAAATGGTCACTTAGCTAATTTGCTACATTAAAGGACAACTGAAATTGGCTACCTTCGCCCTTCAATAGGTTTAATGTATCTTACAAATTATTACCGATATGTATATTATCTAAATATTGTCTTCATTCCTTTTAAAATTTCATGATAGAGTGGTAAAATGGGTGAAATCGGATAATATTTAAGCACACCCCCACATATCGGTTATATACGAGATTACGTAAAATGTTGTAATTATATAAAGAAAACATTATCGACATTAATTTTAACATATTAATATATATAATTCTTTTACATCGATATATTATGCTTTGAAAATGTTCAAAATCGGTCCAGAACTACACAAACTAAGTGAAAGTATAATACCGGGCATACTACACTTTAATACTGAAAATTTATGAAATCAGTCCGAGTATTACCTCTGCTTCTGTATACCACATATAATGATGCTTGTTTTTCTAGTAGATTTTAATCCATGAAAGTTCGTCACTGTGTGAGTTAACTTCATAAAATTGCGTAGATACATGTTCTAAAATATACTTGAGTAATGGAAAAAGTTAATGCAATCAGTACAAACCTTTTCCTAGCCAAAAGTTATGAAAGAACTCGGCTCGCCTTCTAAGAACTTGGTTTCCGCATTAATCTCGATATTCGAGTTAACCCTGAACTATTTGAAATTTTATATGAATGAATTCGGATTTTAAATCTCTATCACTATATCTGGCATCTAATCTTAATCACGTAATAAATCTTAAACTTACGAAGTTATTAAAGAAAGGGCGTTGAGCCAAAAAGAAAAAATATAAATCTCACGTTCGTTTCGACATAACAATGATCAATTTACACTATTTTAATTGTAAAATCATGTATTGAGCCTAACAATGTCACCTCATATCGTCCACAGAAGTGCTTCAAAGCTGCGTCTGCTCAAAACATTTTTGATATCTGAAACTGATAATGTTGCAAGGAGGCTATAATTAATCAGTGCTCTTTAAGTTTCATTAAAATAACACACATATTGACCGATATATGAGGTATAAAGTCAGTCGGAAGTTCGAATATCTTTCTATTAGGTATATGGGGTCTAAGAGAATTATTGATTCGATTCAGGCCATTTTTGACGTACAAGGAATTATTAGGAAAGGGTTCTCTCCGAACTTCTATAATACCATATATCTCACAGATTGACCGATATTTTCGATAAAAAGTTCGCAATAAGAACTGGGGTCCACATATTCAGTATCTGGGGGCTTGAACCGTTTTGCTCCGATGAGCCAAACTTTTGGACATAAGATGGTGCACCTCAAAGGCACTGTTCATGCTTGATTTGTACAAGTATACTGGAGAGTGAAAGAATCAGATGGAATTTAAAATTGTGTTATATGAAAAGTAAGCGTAATATTACGTAGTGACTTTCATTGAAATCGGTGGAGTAAGTCCCGAGGTATGGGGTTTGACTTAAATATGGGCGGTACCACGAACATTGCCTAGATTGACATTGGTCCCTCTAAAGTCCTCCAGTATCATCGTAGGTTTAAAGTTAAATGTCTTTGGTGCGTTTACTTATGGATTTATTGCATTGTTTTTAACAAAACCGCTATATGGCTAAAGGATGGGGCATAATTTGAATTCACCCTTTTTCACAAGGTGAGTAAGGATGTCAAAAAGATTTACCCTGAGCAAATTCGGTTATTATAGGTTGTATGGTCTAGAAGATATGAACATTAAACTTACTAAGTTAATGTAAGTCGTTGAACTAAATAACTGTCTTGCATCTTATTGTGAAACTTAGTTATGGTAATTTATTGGTTTTCGATTAATGGCGTTGGTAATGGTCCGATTCCAACCCCTTGGGTGTCAAGAAATATGTTTACCAAGTTTCATCGAGATATCTCAAATTTTACTCAAGTTACAACTTGAACAGGCGGACAGACAGACAGACAGTAACTCGGAATTCAACTCGTCTCTTTATCCTGATCATTTATATATATATAACCCTATATCTAACTCGATTAGTTTTAGGTGTTGCAAACAACCGTTAGGTGAACAATACTATTATACTCTGTAGCAACATGTTGCAAGAGTATAAAAATAAAGAACGTGCCATAAAAATAGATGCCATATAGGCTTAAAATGAAACCAATCTGACGAGTACACTTTATTTATTCAGTAGATGTGACGTCTAAAACAAAATACGCTCACACACTGAGAGATGCCGGAAATTTGACACATGTGTACGATGTTATTGCAATTTTGCATTTTTCGTGGTGATTAAAGTGCGGCGTTGCGTCTGTAGGTGAAAGCATTTCATGTTTACTCCACTCTTTTGCAATAGGATGGTAAATTTTAACCGTATCAAACTGTTTCGTCAGTGGTCGGATCCATTTATAGCAAATGCAATATCAGTATATTCAAATTAAGGAACCCTGGTTGCCGATATATTGTCCGTTAGAACCACATGTGTATTTCTATTTAAAGATCTATGTATACTTACGTATGACAGGGTTTACGGCAATGTAAAGGGTATCCTTAGATACTAGAAAAAACTTTTAAAGGACATTTCCTAAGCATGTACAAAAATTTTACGATATAACGCGTAAGGAAGAGTTAGGTTCGGGTGTAGCCGAACAGTTTATACTCTTGCAACTTGCAACGATCAAAGTCGCCAAAAAAAGGGCGGGGTTATAATCCGATTTCATCTATTTGCACATTGTCGGGTTTTCAAAATTTTTAGACCAAAGGTATCCCTTGCTTCTAGCGTATTCCCGATTTCGAAGTAATAGTATTATACATATTTTAATCGTTTTCTATTCAGCGTTTGGGCGTTGTTCTCTTATTTAGTAGTAAATAAAAGTATTGTATGAAGTAAAAAATTGAAAGTTGACTATTGTTGGATTTAGTTAGAATAAAAAATTGTAAACAGAATTCATCTATTATAAAGATTCTCGTATGTAAGATTAGTTTGCACTCAACAAGTTGCTGAAGTTACATTGTATTTGTGTATATGTATATAATATTTGTATACAATTAAAGTGTGTATAGAATGGCTGGTTACATACATTGCCAACTACGATTCCCTTCATATCCCATGAAATGCTTTAAGGCGAACTTATAAGGACGCTCTAACCAAAAAAATATTTACTCCTCGTTACGCACATCACAAAGAAAGCTATGATTGTCGCTTTTCGTTTTTAACATATCTATGTCACAATAATATTCGTTGCTACACACATATTCAAATACTACTATATATACATTTGTACATGTTCGAAATCTATTTAAAAAAGTATGGAGTAGGTACTTACCAAAGTGTAGGTGGCGCTTGCCATGCTTCCGGTACGCACCGTCTTCCAAAAGCAACAAGACTGCAGTATAGCCATTTTCGTGTGTTGTGTTTGCGTGTTTTACTTTTTGCTGTGCATATACACAACTTTAAATCCACTTGTCAAGAAGTGCACGCCACTACTTTGTTCTTGATGGCACACAAATAAATGTAATCAATGTGCAGAGATCAGACGCTTAAGTGTGCACATTTTAAAGAGAATACATTAGTGTCTTTGTTGCAGGTGTTTCAACATTTAAAAGAGCACTTCGAAATTAAGAACAAAAAAGCACAATTTTTGCATATAATGTTTGAAACAAAGTAAATTTCATAGATATACTTTGAAAAGTTGTGAAAGTTTAATATGCTATATTTTTCAAAAATTCATCTTTTTATACACTTTCAAGGTGTTGCATAGAGTAAATACCTATACAAAAATATAGTCAGCATTAATAGACGAATTGATTTTCGGATGTCTGTCTTTCGGATGTTTAATGTGCCACAGAAAATACATCGGTAGCTGCATTGCGATTTAACATTTCTTACTATACTGTAGATGGAGTGATAACATTATGCATACTCCTCATTTAACGGTTACGAGTATGTTGATAACGTCCTAAAGAATGACGTTAGTAACAAAATTTAAATCCTACTAAGTAGACTTGTCTAAAATAACATAATGTGCGATTAGTTTCTATACTCTTGCAACAAGTTGCTACAGAGTGTAATAGTTTTGCTCTCTTAACGGTTGTTCATATCAACTAAAAATAATGGAGTTAGACATTGAATTATATATATATAAATGATCAGGATAATGAGATGAGTTGAAATCCAAATGACTGTCTGTCTATCCGTCCGTTTGTCTGTCCGTCTGTGCAAGCGATATGTTAATAAAACTTGGTACACGTATTCCTTGATCAAAGGTAGAGTACGTTGATGGGCGTAAACGGACCACTGCCACGCTCACAAATGCCAGTAATCGAAAACCTATAAAATGCCATAACTGAGCACTAAATTAAGATATAACCATGTAATTTTGTACAGGGAATTGCCCACTCTCTAATAGGTTTAATGTATATAACCCTAAACCATTTAAGACACAAAAACTAAATTCGCTTAGGACAAATCCTATAAGAATCCCTACCGACGGTGTGTACGGTTTTTTTCAGAACTACTAAAATCGTGATAAAATTTGACACCTAGGATGATACAAAAGGGCTTTATAGGACTCGGGGTCAAAATTGGACGATGGGCGTAGCACCGGTCACATTTAGATGAAGTCACATATCTTCGCATCTTTTTTTCTATTACCGGTCACTTCATACCTTATATATCGAGTAGTATTTCAAATATCTTATACAAATAAGTGTTTATGTATTGTTGTCTTTATTTAAATTTAGCGCTAAAAATTTGTAAATGTGTTCGACGCAATGAGTTTTTTTAGCTTACCCTCGCTGTTCCATATGTCTAACTGACATATTTCATAAACTACGTGGGCTAATCTCTAATCTCTAATTCAGAATTCAAAATATATTTATAGCTTGGCAACGAACACTTTCATAAGAACTATTATGCCTTCTAAACTAATTTACCAATTCAAGTGATACCTCTTACAGCTATATTAGCGGTGTATAGAAAATACATAACCACGTCCTTAGATTGATTCTATAGATTGCCTTTCTTAATTCCTACCAAGTTCTTTAATTTTTATATAAATAACTGATGCAACCGTATTTTCTTAAAAATATTATTTGAACATTAATATCTGGCAATTCTATTTAAATATTGGACACAATCGGTAAATATATTGGCCTCCATATACTGAAGGAAATTATTAAATTTTTTGTTGCTGTTAAATGTGCTATTAAATAGACGGAAGAACAGACAGCAAAAATTTAATGAATTTGTCTCATTATATGTAGATGAATGATGGTATAAACCCATCCCATCTAATTAATAATATCCTTTAGGTGAACAAACTTTTTTTTTCAGCACATCATTTTGCGAGAGTATAAAATGAGCAAAATATTTTTTTTAATCTCTTATATAATATTTAACTTTCAGTTTTTAAACGGAAAAAATTGTATCCTTGCAAGCTGCGATAATCATTAGAGAAAAAACTAATTAACCATTAAACTAATTACGCCGTGTGTACGCTGTCTAATCCAAATGCGCGCTTATTAACTTTTGGAGCAAACAAAGAAGATATGGAGTATTTTTTTTTTGTTAGCAAATAATAATAACAGAAAAACCAGCAGAAAGAGTTTCGCGATAAACATAAAAATATTACAATTTTAGCACGTTATTAAATTATTTCTTATATATGTACAATATGTTGAACACAATTACTATTTTTATATTTTCCGCACAGCTCCAACTTTACACAAATACTTTCAAGCTTTAAAATTATTATTATTTAGTATTAACTATATATAATTTCCGAACAGTGCTTAAAGCATTGATAATTTGCACTTTTGTTTATCTTGTTGTTACTGTTTATGTAGCCATATCATTTATGTGGCCTTATTATATTTATTGTACTTGCAACGCCTGGCAAAGACGCAATGCTTTTCCTTTAACTGTTGCCGCGTGTCACTTTCTAACAAAAACATAAAGAAACATTCACGTACATAGATGCCAACGGCACGTTTTCTTAAACACTAACATGACTAATAGACGTCATAGTCGGAACAATCTAATAAATCACTCAAGCAAATTGTATGCAACACAGTTTCCTTACTTTCGTCTTCTCTTGCAGAAAAAAAAAATGCGAGGAACCATAGGAATACGAGTATACTAGCGAATATTTTCCGTGTTTCCGATTTTCACGCGTTACGTCTGAATCGCACGAAGTCAAAGGCTGGACTAACTGGATTGCACGCAACAGCGTTGTTTTATTCAAACTGAGTTGTTGTTGCCGCAGCTGGTTTTAGTGAATGAAATCTTGTGCTGTGAATATAGAAAATGTAAACAAATGCGTAAAAGCTCTGTGCTCGTCGCATGCTCGTGAGTCGTCGTCCATCGTTAGTTGGAGCTTTCACTTAATTTCTTGCATGTACTCGTAGATATGTATCGGGCTAAGTGCCTTCAAATACACTTGTGCTAATGGCTCTATGACATATACCACATGACATTTGAGTACTCGTATAAGTATGAAGTAGGTCTTTAAACTTTTATCTAAAAATGTTGCGGTGTCACCGCAATGACTGTAGGGGCTTTTAGTGCATACACTCGGTTAAAAAAGTTTACGTACCTTCTTACTTATGTCTGTTTTTATTCGCATTCATCAAAAAATCGCTGTATTAAGCTTCGGAGCAAATCAGATTATTTGCTTTATTGTTAGAATCTAATTTATCATTTAAAGAGTAATCTAGTCTAGAGAACAAAATAGCCGTCCTTTTTTGATACTCAAATAAAAAGAAATCATGAGTATAAAAGATAGAATAAATTAATTTAATAAATAAAATTAACCTGTCCACCTTTATAGAACCATTTAAACAAATTATTCGGAGATTGTAGCTTTGACTAAAACAATAACCTATTTTTAATTTCAAATGATCATTTGACTTGCTAAGCCAACATGAGGTCAATGACCCTTTTGTTTACTTTTAGCAAAATCAAAAACTTTCTTTTACATTTTTCTAAGTCAACAACCCGAAGTCAATGGACCCCTTTTCAAGGTCAATGCCCGCTGGTCGCGAGATCAATTACCCTTTTGTTTACATTTAGCCAAGTCAATAACACGAGCTCAATGAACTCTCCATTAACATTTCATGAGACCCGTTTTTCAATAAGTCGATTGAGTAGAGCTTGTCGATTTTTGGATAAACGGTTCGTAAAATGTTGTTTCAAGAAAAATGCATTTAATCGAAATGTGAAAAAATATAATACTCCCGTAAAACCTTGAAAATGTGGCCTCCTAAAATTACCGATAAATTTGTGGTTTTGGTATTGCCCCATAAACTAAATAGCTAAAAAATTAGTGTAAGCAATTACAGTCAAAATTATTGCGTTCCTCTGCCTTTATTGCTAGCATCTCTCAATGTTAACATTTTATTATGACGGACCGATTCAACCACAAACTGCAAAAGTTTGCTAAACAAACTTTTCAAAAGTTTTCACAAAATTAAGACTATATATTTTACAACGCCAAAAAACAATTTATTGCTACATCTACTTAAAGTATCCTCTCATTAAAAAACTATAACAACTTGGCATTGGCAGCGTTCTAAAAGTTAAACATCTCGTTTGTAAAATCGCTCAATAGTATGTTTATAGATACTTTAATATTTTGCGGTAATGACTTGTAAGTTTACGCTCTGCGTCATCAATCTATGGTACAATTTTACTTCTATCAATCCACTTTTTGTTGTAATTTGAGCGGCAAACCAAATCTGTATATACAAGGTGCGTTCCAAAGAACAGTAAAAAAGTAACAAAGTATACTCTAGTAGCGCCATCTATATGTCGATTAGTGCGTTAGAATCTGCTATCCTTTATCGACTTCCAGTAAAAATTGCATGGCATTTCATCTATTGAAAGTGAAGTTATTCCGTTTTAAGTGTCAGTATGTTTTTGTCATCGGTGCGAAAATGAGCATCGAACAAAGAGCGAACATTAAATTTTGTTTTAAAATTGGTAAAACTTTTAACGAAACGTTTCAATTGCTGAAACAAGTTTATGGCGATGATTGCCGCTTCCGTAGCAGAGTGCACAAGTGGTTTCAACGTTTTCAAAGTGTTCGTGAGGACTTAAATGAGAAATGAGCCGAAACCCAAAAAATCGCGCCTGGAGAAGTCAAAAGTGAAGACAATGCTGATATGTTTTTATGATTCCAAGGGTATTGTCCACAAAGAATTTGTTCCACCCGACCAAAACGTTAATGCGGTATTCTACCTTGGAGTATTCGACGTGTTCAGCCCGAATATCGTGAAGATGGAAGTTGGCGTTTGTTGCACGATAATGCGCCGTCTCATCGATAGACGCTTGTGGCCGATTATTTGACCAAAAATCACATTTTAACAATCAACCACTCCCCGTATTCACCTGATACGGCACCGTGCGACTTCTACCTTTTCGGAAAAATGCATTTGCCGATGAAAGGAAAGCGTTATGCAAACGTGGAGGCCAAAAGGCTGGCACCGGCATACTGGCGGCCATACCGGGCAACGAGCTAAAACACTCGTTCGACATGCTTTTGGACCGTGCAAAAAGCTGTATTAAAGCTGAAGGAGACTATTTTGAATAAAATTATTGATTTTGCCCATAAAAGTCCTGTTTACTTTGGAACGCACCTTGTAATATTGGTGAAAATGTCAGCGTTAAAGCAGATATACATACATCTTTAAACTTGTAGATTAGATAGAGAAGAAAATTCAGTTAAGTACGTACATATTTCACATTTGCATATGTTTCGTAATTAAGTAGTAACCCTGTAACAAATGTGACGATCTTTATCCGAAATGAATCACGAAAGTTTCTGCGTATAATACCACTTACCACTTATTACTCTCTTATCAAATAAACTACTACAGCTATTTTTTTTTTTTTGAAAGCACATCTGGTCCGTTGTTTGGAACAAAGACTGTGTACCTAAATGTACAATATTATTACGTTTTTACGTAAGCGAGATATGACAACTAGTAACATTAGCAATATTTTTGATTTAGGAAGTTCTGGCATAAGAAAGAAACGTTTTAGATTTCCAAATAAAAGTTTTCTTTCAAAAATACTAGGTCAACAACTCCTTTGGATCATTTTAACACATTTAAGCTGATGATTTAATAGGCATTGTCGTCAGACCAAAATATTTAACTTTTTTCTTAAATTGTTGCCGAGAAGCGGTAACGAAAGGCGAATTGAAAGAATTGAAATAACGTTTAAATCGAATGCAATTGACTTAGGAATAATAGCAGTTGTGGATGAAAAGTTTAATTCGCTCTTGGTGTAAATATTCAATCAAATCATATAAAATGTATAATATATTTCCAAACACCCATTTAATTGCAACCCTAAATTAATGTTTATTGTTCAACGCAAACCAAAATATAAATTGCGTTTATTTAATCCGTTTAACCACATTAAATTAATTATTTAAGTGTTTTTACAAATAGTTTTTCATTAACGATTCGAATTTAACTAAAATTTGAGAAAATGAAATCCAATTAAACTATTTTGGCAGCTTTATAGATTTTGTAATTATATACGAGTAGATATGTGCGTAAATATAACCCACAAAACCTAAATTAATTTTTATGCGTTTACGTAACTACTATATTAGCAGTTATATTTAAATATTTCGCAGATGAGGAAATGCATTTTTGAACTACACATTTGAATTACACAAGCTCTGGGCAAAGAATGTACATTTTTATCATCAAAAAGATTCGAAGGAAGCTATAATCGGATGTCACTTATGCCAATACTTTACATATCGCCCCCTAAAATATAGTCTCCATAAGACATTTTCGTACAGCTTCTGTGCGAGTGCCATCCTTTTTCTTTCTTCCAGTGGCTTAGTTTTGCTTAAGTGTCCCGGTTTTTTCAATATTCTTTCAAAATATGCAATATAAGATCAATTTTAGGGTTTTTTTTTGTTCCTCTATCGTGCATATTCAAAGTTCGCATACGAAACCCATATACGTATATTGGTGTTCGGACAGAGTGGAAGCGGAATCAATTTGGATCTCAACGCATGGAATTTTGACATATTTTATTTCAAATACAGTTCATTGTCTCGATTATGAGCCCACTGCACACACTTTCGAAATAGCTTTCGTTTACCCAAATATTCGTGGGCGTTATGTCTAACAATTTCCTTTTATTTCTCTAAGATATCAGCTGTATTAGTCAATCGGTCATTTAAAATTATTTTCCAAATTTTTTTATTTTCGTTCTTAAAGTCTTTGGGACAACCATATGGTTAATTGCCTTCGATGCACTTATGATCTATACGGAAATTAGTTAAGCTCTTACACATGGTTCCTTCGCCTTGTGGATAGCCATTTTGGGGTTTTAGCCACCATACAATTTTCATCAGATCAAAAAATCAAATTTAATTGTTATTTCGTGTAAGCAGAAGTATTTCGCTTGCTGGGTTGCCAGGCAATTAATATAATTCCAAATGTACGCAAATGTGCTTTTGTAAACAATTAAATAGTTCAAGTTAGATTTTATTGGGGTAGAATTGAATGAAAATCTGCCATGTAACCGCTACTAATTTCCTATATAAGCTTCGGTACCCGTTTCGCAATACAAATATTATGTGACGAATATTAATTACGTGGTAATGTTGCTCAAGTATGTGTGTGTGTGTGCAAACCAAAGCAAATGGTTTAAGTTTAATTTGTATGCAAATTGTGTGTACTTATGGCTGAATTCACTGAAATTCCACGACAATTATATTTTATGCGCCTGTGTATGTGTAAATATAACTCGTATGTGTGTGAGCTTGCGCGTGCGGCTGTGTAGGAAATAAAGTTCTCAATAAAACTTTGTTTTATGCTAATTTTCATACTAACTAATAACAACATTAGAAGTGTAAACGTGAAATTTATAATTAAAATGAAATTTGTTGCTTTGGTAATTACGCTTATTTATAAAAGCTAATTTAAATAAATCTGAGATTAATATTGTGTTACCTAGATGTTGTGCATTTTACTAATAATATTCTAATTACTTTCTTAATGAATTTCTTATTAGCAAATGTATTTTATAATCAACTAATATTGCCTATTTTTAGCATATTCTTCAGTTTTCGATAAAATATTATATTAAAGAGGAGAAATTGAATTTGAATCAAAATTATGCAGTTTATGAATATCTAAGACAAAAAGCTAAAATTTTCATAACAT